GCCCGCGCCCGCGCCCGCGCCCCCTCCCACGCACCCCGCCACCGCCGCCGCTTCCCGCCACCGCCGCGGGCGCCGCCGCCGCCGTAGCCAAGCAGGCGGCTCGTCTTTGCGACGGTGATGTGGGGGGCGAAGGGCTTGCCGTCCTCGTGGCGCAGACCCGCCGCGCGGAAGCCGTCGTCGGCCGCCGCTGATATTTGCTGCAGGCGGTCTCTGTCAGGGCTTGGCGCGACCTCCAGGAACAGGACCTGTGTGTTTTGAGCAAAGAGAGGTGGTAGTGGGCGTTTCAGGGCTCGATACAGAGCGTTGGGTTTGTGTTTGACCGAGTTTGACCGGCGGCAGGGGCTTGTGCTGCAGGGAAGAGCACATGTGGGTTAAGATGCCTTTTGGTAGGGGATGCGTGATAGCTGTTGGATGTTTTGCGAAAAATTCCGTGATGTGTTGAGGTGGGTTTGACCGAGGTTTGACCCACTAGCAGGGGTGCGTGAAGGCGTGTCAGCGCGAGCGCGGGCGCAGAGCGAGGCGCTGGGCGGACAGCGGCTGTGAAGCCCGGTTGGCATCGCGCCCCGCCGCCAGCACACGTGCGCGTGTGCGTGCATGGCCCCCATGCACCTGCCGCCTGAAATGGCCGAGCCCCAGGAGCTGCAGCTGCAGCGGCCCCAGCAGCCCGTCGTGAGCCAGCCGCGCCCCCAGGCCCTGGAGCGCCTCCCCGGCTGCCGCCAGCCGCCCCTCGCCCGACAGATCCATGACCAGCAGTGTGACGTGCGCCCCCGCCGCGTCCACGCAGCAGTCCGCAAAGTCCGGACCGGACTGGCTGAGCGTGGACTGGATGGAATGGATGCAGGCCGTGGACTGGGGGCTCGCGGTCTGGACTGCCAGGAAGTGCGTGGGGCGCGGGGGCGGCGGCGGCCTCGGCTCGCCTGCGGGACGCTTGGCGCCGCGGCCGCTGGGGCCCGGCCCGCGTGCCGGGGCCTCCGCAGCTGCGGCCAGCGGCGCGCCACGCGCCACGGCGCCGGCGGCGAGCGGCACAGCGTCGGCGGCGCCTGCCCCTGGTGCGGTGGACTCCGCTTGGACAGTGCAGGCCGCGAGGTCTCCCTGCTGCTGCTCGCGTACAAGATCCACTGCAGCCATCATGCTGTTTGTCGCAGATGCGATCGCGGTGTCTGCTGCCGGCTCGCCCGCATCCATCCTTCCGTTCGTTCGAGCTACGTACTGTGGGGTAGCTCCCCAGCTAGAAGTGGCTGCTGCCGAGTATGGGCGCGCCGCCCGTGTCGAGTGCACGCGACGCACGGCGGTTGTAAGCAAACGATGGCAGGCCCTGACGAGGCAGCTGTGCAACTTGGATTCCATCTACACTGCGATCTGACAGCGATCATGCTTGCGCAATCATCATACAAGCATGCGCGTATGACGAAGGATTAGCTGCGTGCTACGACGGAGTTTATCTATTCGATGACTAAAGCCTTTTGCTCATAAAGTCATACTTGTTGATGCAGCGCTGTCTGCCTCAATGCGCAACCACCGCTACCAGCTAGCGTGGCCAGCAAGTGACAGCACAGCGCCGCCACTTTGGAGAGGCGCCACCTGTGACTTGCAGGCGCCGTGCCGTGTCGCTCTGCAACTACAAAGCTGAGGCACAGCTGTCATCTCTTCTCATGTCTATAGGGCGGCTGCTTGCGCCTGATAACACGCGCAGTAATCTTCTTGAGCAGGTGAGGTGACCCCCAGCCTGCCCGCTCGTCTTCTGTTGTTCACGTCTTTCAAATACTGCACAGGCGGGGTGAGCATAGCTCTCGCCTGCCATCGCGTTCGTCTTCAACCCCTTCTTGTGCACCAGCCACCAGCTCTGGGCCCAAGCTCTCCTTCGACACACAGCCCAAAAGGCCGACTGATTGCCCAACGGGTGACTCGACAGGTTGCGCGACCGAGCGACGCCGTCGGGCGCTCGATGCTTACCCTTGCTGCCAAGAAGGGTGCTAGCTCGCGTGCTCGTGAGGGAGGCGGCCGCCCTGGCCCGCGCTCTAGTTTAAACAACTCGACACCCCCAGCAGATGTCGAACGGACGACAGGGAGAGATATGGACAGGCGCGGCTCGCAATCCGCGGCAGGCACCTCATGCCGCTGCACGCAGGCCCCGGCGCTGCGGCTGATGAGAGACACAAAATGACCGCGCCTTTGATAGCTGAAAGAATCCCGCGGATCGCACCTGCCTGTGCACGCGCTCATGCATTGAATACCCATGGGGGCCGCGGCGGGCAGCGTGCAGGGGCGTGTAGACTGGCGCGCTGCGCCGCTTGCCCGCCCACAGTGGCGACCCTGGCACCCCGTCCCAGCCCGCAGGCAACGGCAACAGGCGCCTGATGCGTTCAAGTGGCACCAAGCTGGGGCAGCAAAGCAAACCCCTTGAATGTGGGGTGATCGTGTTGGTGCTGGTGGCTGTGCAGGACGAAAATTAATCAGCAGCACATTGACAGGGCCTCCGCTTCAAGAGATACCATCTGCAGCCCGCCCCCCTGCCG